ATAAAAACAACAACACAGAGTTACATATGGGGTAAAACATAACATAAAGTCAAAAATACAACAGAAAATATATATACACTGTGTAGCAAGTTGTAGCAAGTTATGGAGGTAAGGAAATAAATAGGCCATAGTGCAAAATAATTACAATTAGTATTAACACTGGAATGATAGATGTGCAAGAGATGATGTGCAAATAGAGATACTGGGGTGCAAATGAGCAAAATAAATAACAATATGGGGATGAGGTAGTTGGGTGGGCTAATTTCAGATGGGTTGTGTACAGGTGCAGTGATCGGTAAGGTGCTCTGACAACTGATGCTTAAAGTTAGTGAGGGAGATAAGAGTCTCCAGCTTCAGAGATTTTTGCAATTCGTTCCAGTCATTGGCAGCAGAGAACTGGAAGGAATGGCGGCCAAAGGAGGTGTTGGCTTTGGGAATGACCAGTGAGATATACCTGCTGGAGCGCAGACTACGGGTGGGTGCTGCTATGGTGACCAATGAGCTAAGATAAGGCGGGGATTTGCCTAGCAGTGATTTATAGATGGCCTGGAGCCAGTGGGTTTGACGACGAACATGTAGTGAGGACCAGCCAACAAGAGCGTACAGGTCACAGTGGTGGGTAGTGTATGGGGCTTTGGAGACAAAAACGGATGGCACTGTGATAGACTACATCCAATTTGCTTTCCATTGGTGTGAAACTAGGCTACAGCCTCATGTGTTTTTGAAAAAAAGGCAAGTTATGCAACATGAATAGCCTCACTCACACACACTCTCTTTAATAGACTTTTCTAAGTATCAATCAGAGAGAAAACGTCTAGGGTAACCTTAACAACTAAACAACAACAACAACAATGGATCTTTTTGTTGTGTACATGTAGAAGCTGGATCTGGTCAGATCGCTGGCATAGTGAGTGGAATAGGAGTGGCCCTTCTTGGTGCTGCCTCCATCTACTTTGCCTACCAGAAGAAGAAACTGTGTTTCAAGATTCAGGGAGGTGAGTGAATGGGACTGGGATACAAACAGTACAGTATGTGTAGTGGTGGATACAAGGTTGCCCTGGCTGTAGACGCCTATATGGCAGCCATGTCTACAGCCATGTCTCAGGGCAAGATACAAGGGTCTAGAGGTCCCGCTATAAAGTTGTCTGTGGCACATAACATGTTCTTCGATGTAAATGCTTATGTATTTCTCCATTCAGGTGTAGACCCAGAAAGTGGAAAGAACGCACATGGAGCTCAGTCTGATCCCCAAGGTAAGTACTAGTTATTACACGATCTCATTAGTCCTACTCTCTCTCTCTCTCTCTCTCTCTCTCTACTACTCCAATATACTACCTATACTATCTACTACCTTCATATATACTGCCTATATTATCTACAGCCTTCATATATACTGCCTATATTATATTACCTTCCTATATACTGCCTATATTATCTACTACCTTAATATATACTGCCTATATTATCTACTACCTTCATATATACTGCCTATATTATCTACTACCTTCATATATACTGCCTATATTATCTACTACCTTCATATATACTGACTATATTATCTACTACCTTCATATATACTGCCTATATTATCTACTACCTTCATATATACTGCCTATATTATCTACTACCTTCATATATACTGCCTATATTATCTACTACCTTCATATATACTGACTATATTATCTACTACCTTCATATATACTGCCTATATTATCTACTACCTTCATATATACTGCCTATATTATCTACTACCTTCATATATACTGCCTATATTATCTACTACCTTCATATATACTGCCTATATTATCTACTACCTTCATATATACTGCCTACCTACTATATCCATCTAGTATTCCTGTTCTGTTTTCCTACCTTTTCTCTGGGTGGGTCTTGCTTCTCCTCTGTTTCTTTACTTCTCTCTGGCCTCCTTTTCTTTCCTGCAGATTAGGGCAAGGGAACCCTTGGAAAAAGGTCTGCTGAGAAGGGTTTGAAGTTATTTTAAATTACAATGTATTTTTTGTGTATTTTTTGTGAACATAACATAACCATTATTTCTGTGCTTCCTCTGATTCCAGTGATGAGCAACTTGCTCAGGTCATCTTAACTTCGATCAGATCATCATAGAGGAACTGCACCTTGAGCAAAGAAACACATTCTTCCATCAGCAGGTATCAACTGCTGGGGACTTCAGTGGGCAAAAAAATACAATAAAATATATATATCTATTTTTCATTTGTCTTTCATTTGGAATTTAACTGTTGGAGAATGTTAGTTATATGTTTTCTTGTTTTTTTTGTTGCCTTATCTAGCTGTGTAAAGACACTTAGATAGATTTACAACTTGAATACATGTTTTTTGCAGTGAAAATGTATTGATACTTTTCATTGTATATTGTTCAGTACCAAACAATTGTCTTTCAATATGCTGATGTGATTTTTCATCACTTTCATTACTTTTCATTTCATACTTTAGTAGGCCTAGCTAGTATACATAACTGCATTTTACATTTGACTGTTTACATTGCACAAAGCTTTTGTTGTATTTGTTTTACTTTAACTGTCTCCATGTATATTCGATTCAATTCTGATTGGCAGTAGGATCCCTCGTTTCATAAAATGTCAGCGCTTGTTTTAAAATATAACCCAGGCGAATCTGTAGTTACACTAATCAAAACAAACCATGCACACAAATGATAACTTTATAACATGGCACATTCATGTAATTATTAACTGGATTCAAATTTAATAGAAGGATTTACAACTTTAAGGTATAATGAAAAAAGTGTCTTAGAAAAGGGATCATTTTGGTGGAGATAAAAAGAATGTGTAGGGTACTATTTGAGATGAGGATTGGATTCAAGCTGAACTTTTAGCTGCATCACATGTTTTGTCATCTAGTAAGTTAATTGTTTGGGGTGCAAGCCACTCGTTAGTGTGTATGTGAGGAAAGATACCATAAATGCACATGGTAAATAGCCAGAAATGTTTTAAAAAAATGCATTGTGCATGTTTATTTGCAAAAAAACATTTATACCGAGAAGTGGTTATTGTATGTTTTAAGTTATACTTGTTTAAGATTTGTATGTATGATTGCTTGATTTCTGATGTTATACAGATATGAATAGAAATTGATACCTGGGGTTGATACCAAACTACACTGAACAAAAATATAAACGCAACATGTAAAGTGTTGGTCCCATGTTTCATGAGCTGAAATAAAATATCCCAGAATTTTCCAAACGCACAAAAATCTTATTTCTCTCAAATGTTGTGCACATCCCTGTTAGTGAGCATTTCTCATTTTCCAAGATAATCCATCCACCTGACAGGTGTGGCATATCAAGAAGCTGATTAAACACCATGATCATTACACAGGTGCACCTTGTGCTGGGGACAATAAAAGGCCACTCTAAAATGTGCAGTTTTGTCACACAACACAATGCCACAGATGTCGAAAGTTTTGAAGGAGCGTGCAATTGGCATGCTGACTGCAGGAATGTCCAACATAGCTGTTGCCAGAGAATTGAATGTTAATTTCTCTACAATAAGTCGCCTCCAACGTCGTTTAAGAGAATTTGGCAGTAAGGCAAACCGGCCTCACAACCGCAGACCACGTGTATGGTGCCGTGTGGGCGAGCGGTTTTCTGATGTCAACTTTGTGAACAGAGTGCCCCATGGTGGCGGTGGGGTTATGGTATGGGCAGGCAGGCATAAGCTACGGACAACGAACACAATTGCATTTTATCGATGGCAATTTGAATGCACAGAAATACTGTGACGAGATCCTGAGGCCCATTGTGAGGCCCATTTTTTTGTAAGGTATCTTTGACCAACAGATGCATATCTGTATTCACAGTCATTAGGGCCTAATTTATTTGTTTCAATTGACTGATTTCCTTATATGTAACTGTAACTCAGTCAAATCTTTGAAATTGTTGCACGTTGTATTTATATTTTTGTTCAGTATAGTAAACCAGCATATTCTACCATGTCACTTGTGCTGTAAATACTAATGAAGAATGTGTATAAAAGCGCTTCGGCTTTTTTGCTGTGTGATGTATGGCATTTTTGTTCTCCTTTAACTTTCAGTACATGTAATTAAAACATTTAAGGAACCGTAACTGAAAAAGTAGGACTGTTTATTCTTTACCAATACAGGAAATCATTTGTTGGCTTAATTGATCGTAGTTAGTTGTTTTGTGTGCTTTGAAGGAGTTTGATTCCTTCTCTGAAAGACGATGGAGGGCTGTTGATAATGTACCTTATTGTTATCAATAAAGTTAACTTTTTACAATTGATTGGTATTTTTATTTCATGCATGTTTTCCATCAAGTTTCAACATCAGTGTTGTTGTGCATAGTACCATTAATTTGTATATCATGAAGATTGGCTGACGGTTCTACAGTCAATTGAATGCACCTGCACATAGTACTATGCACTTAGTTCCAGGGGTTGGACTACGGTAGACTGTAGAGTACAGTTGTTGAAGGTCCTGCTTAAACCCTGCAGGTTTTCATTTTAGTTGAATGACCAGTGACACATGACCGAGAACTCAAACAGACTCTCTGATTTGCTCTTGCTTACTTGCATCTGATTTGCTCTTGCTCTAAAAATGGCAGACGTATGAGTGTTGTGTAGCTACCAGCTTGAGGTTACACCCCCTAGCTTTAGATATAACCTCTCATATTACATTTACAACTAATACTACTATACGTTTTATAAAGCCAATCGAAATGGCTGTAAAAAAATAGATTACTTTGTATTGATCATTCTGGATCTATTGTTTGTGGACAGTTACTACTGCTGGACTCGCTGGACTGTGGGACTACAGTATCATCAACATATTGGAGTTTCATTTTAGGGGAAACTAGTGCATTTTCCGCCAAGTCCTCTCTGCCAGTGGTGCGGGACCTGATCTATCAACTTGACACTTTTATTACCATCTATCACTTTTACCTCTGCCTCAAGTTGTTATTCATTTAGAGGAGTCGCTGTCACACCATGCCAGGTAAGTACTCATCATTATATCATAAACATTTTAATATAACCTGTCAGTGTCAAGTTGATTGAGATCACTCTCTAATTTAATGCAAGAGGAAAACAGGAAGTGCTTGACTATCGGTAATAACTTGAGAAATGAACTACTTTTAATTCCTAAAGAACGTAATGATGATGGCACTGTAAAACTGCTCAAATCCCCTGTTGGGTGTTAGTCATCTATTTCAATGAATAACACCTCCCACTCTTCCTTCCTGTGCCACCAGCGAATCAGGCCTTTGTCACCCTGGCTACCACAGACAGCTACTGCATGGGGGCTCTGGTGGTAGGACAGTGTTTACGACGACACAGGACCACACGCCAGACTGTTGTGATGGTCTCCACTAATGTCTCTAACCAGGCGCGGTGAGAGAAGTCCCTGCATCTCAGACAGAAATATAATATGATATCACTGAGTCATGGAGAGTGACGCATGACCTATTAGAATTTGAATTAAAGTTCTACTCTGTGTCTGTGACAGAGGTCCCAGAAAAGCTATCAGACAAATGCAGTATTTGGTTTCTCATCAGTTAAGGGGGCATTAGATTAACTGGATGGAGTCTTTTGCAGTCCTGGGTGCGCTGTGGACCTAGTGTATTTCTTGTGTATTGAAGTCATGTAAAATCAGATTGTAGTTGTAGTAAATCCCCTGTGTTCCCTCCCCACAGTGCTGACCTGGGCCATGTGTTTGACCAGGTCCTGGTAGTGGACGTGCTGGACAGTGGAGACCAAGCACATCTATCCTGGCTGGGACGACCAGAACTGGGGGTCACTTTCACCAAGCTCCACTGTTGGACCCTCACCCAATACAGCAAATGTGTTTTCCTGGATGCAGACACACTCGTAAGTGTACTGAAATCTCCCTAGACACCACTTGTCTCTAATATAAACACCCACTCAATAATCAATTTGTTTTAAAACCAAGGAATCAATCTTACTATGTCAAAGCTTGATCTTTACCAGCAAATCAATTTTAATATTTGAGTTGTGCAATATTGATCTGTAACTAACATGGACCCAAACATAGTTATTGAAAGGTAAATCAGTACCTAACATGAATGTTACAATCGCCATGGGACAAACCGTCATATTTTTGCTCTGTAAAAAGAAGTACAGAGGGCTTTTCATGTGCTGCAGAGATAGGCGTGTTTGGTTTGAGTGTCAAGGCCAAGCAAATAGAGCCCCAACTGGTCACAGGGCCATGTAGGAAGTTCAACTGAAAATGAAACATAATGAGCACATCCAAACATAAACCAGCAATACCATACAATCATTATGAACTCTCGTTATAGAAAACTTCCAAAAGTATGTGCTGTACCTACAAATGGCATCTTGACACTTGATCTGGAACTTGACGTTGATCAAATCTGTGTTCATGTGGCAGAAAATGTCCAACATATGTCCTCTGTACAAATGGCATCATAAACTTGACCTTGACTTTGAGTTTTGATATTTTTGATGTACTAACCTGCTCTGTTTCCTGTTGACTCATGACCCTCCCTGGCCTGTAGGTGCTGTGTAATGTGGATGAGCTGTTTGAGCGTGAGGAGATGTCTGCGGTCAGTAAACACCTGCCTTTTGTGTACAACCTCAGTGCCATCGCAGTCTACACCTATCTACCTGCTTATCAAGAGTGAGTATTATTTTACTTCAAATGGATAATTTCAGTAAATATGACATTTCCCTGATTGAAAAAGCATATTTTGTACCACAAGCCTGACTCCAACCCTGCTACTGTTTTTTTTGCCTGATGTTGACCATATTGTACTGTTATCCTGGTCCCACACAGATATGGTCACAATGCTAAGATTGTCCACTTCCTGGGTTCAGTCAAGCCATGGAATCAACGTTCTAACTCACAGACCAATCAGCACACCAACAGCCCCCTGGAAGAGTTTGTTTACCAGTGGTGGACGGAGTACTCCTACTTACTTCTCCTTACAAAGACAATGTCCCATCAAGAACCTGCTGTGCCAATCCAACATGCTGGGCCAAAGCAACATGTAAGACGCAGTAGAATTGACTCATGTATTTTCCTCATACTGTATATGCACTCTATAACATACACATACAAAACAAAGTGTAAATGTCTTAGCATTGCAGTGTCATGTACTGTATACTGTGAACTAACATAGTGCGTCACAGCAGAGCTTATACAACATTTGAACATTTAGGTACAGTGCCTTGCAAAAGTATTCATCCCCCTATTTTGTTGCATTACAACCTGTAATTTAAATGGATTTTTATTTGGATTTCATGTAATGGACATACACAAAATAGTCAAAATTGGTGAAGTGAAATGAAAGAAATAACATAAAAAGTAAATAACAGAAAAGTGGTGCGTGCATATGTATTCAACCCCTTTGCTATGAAGCCCTTAAATAAGATCTGGTGCAACCAATTACCTTCAGAAGTCACATAATTAGTTAAATAAAGTCCACATGTGTGCAATCTAAGTGTCACATGATCTGTCACATGATCTCAGTATATATACACCTGTTCTGAAAGGCCCCAGAGTCTGCAACACCACTAAGCAAGGGGCACCACCAAACAAGCGGCACCATGAAGACCAAGGAGCTCTCCAAACAGGTCAGGGACAAAGTTGTGGAGAAGTACAGATCAGGGTTGGGTTATAAAAAAATATCTGAAACTTTGAACATCCCACGGAGCACCATTAAATCCATTATTAAAAAATTGAAATAATATGGCACCACAACAAACCTGCCAAGAGAGGGCCGCCCACCAAAACTCACGGACCAAGCAAGGAGGGCATTAATCAGAGAGGCAACAAAGACACCAAAGAGAACCCTGAAGGAGCTGCAAAGCTCCACAGCAGAGATTGGAGTATCTGTCCATAGGACCACTTTAAGCCGTACACTCCACCGAGCTGGGCTTTATGGAAGAGTGGCCAGAAAAAAGCCATTGCTTAAAGAAAAAAATAAGCAAACACGTTTGGTGTTCACCAAAAGGCATGTGGGAGACTCCCTAAACATATGGAAGAAGGTACTCTGGTCAGATGAGACGAAAATTGAGCTTTTTGGCCATCAAGGAAAACGCTATGTCTGTCGCAAACCCAACACCTCTCATCACCCCAAGAACACCATCCCCACAGTGAAGCATGGTGGTGGCAGCATCATGCTGTGGGGATGTTTTTAATTGGCAGGGACTGGGAAACTGGTCAGAATTGAAGGAATGATGGATGGCGCTAAATACAGGGAAATTCTTGAGGGAAACCTGTTTCAGTCTTCCAGAGATTTGAGACTGGGATTGAAGTTCACCTTCCAGCAGGACAATGACCCTAAACATACTGCTAAAGCAACACTCAAGTGGTTTAAGGGGAAACATTTAAATGTCTTGGAATGGCCTAGTCAAAGCCCAGACCTCAATCCAATTGAGAATCTGTGGTATGACTTAAAGATTGCTGTGCACCAGCGGAACCCATCCAACTTGAAGGAGCTGGAGCAGTTTTGCCTTGAAGAATGGGCAAAAATCCCAGTGGCTAGATGTGCCAAGCTTATAGAGACATACCCCAAGAGACTTGCAGCTGTAATTGCTGCAAAAGGTGGCTCTACAAAGTATTGACTTTGGGGGGGTGAATAGTTATGCACGCTCAAGTTCTGTTTTTCGGTCTTATTTCTTGTTTGTTTCACAATAAAAAATATTTAGCATCTTCAAAGTGGTAGGCATGTTGTGTAAATCAAATGATACAAACCCCCAAAAACTCCAGGTTGTAAGGCAACAAAATAGGAAAAATGCCAAGGGGGGTGAATACTTTCGCAAGCCACTGTAAATATTTGCATTTGACAGACTGCATAGTGGGACTACAATGTACATCCTATAGAGAACATGTGTGTTTTCTCCTATGTCTGTTGTTCTTACGCAAATGTACCACCGAGAGAGATCAGAGTCCAGTACTCTTGTCCCCGTACTCTTCTCCTCTCTACACACCTCTACCAACGTACCTTAGGTGGTTCTCAACAGTACACACCATCACACTTTTTTTCACAGAGCCAGGGGAGAGAAGAAGAGAAGCCAAAGGGGAGAGAAGAAGAGAAGCCAAAGGGGAGAGAAGAAGAGAAGCCAAAGGGGAGAGAAGCTACAGTGTCGTTGATAGAGGACCTCACAGAATCATTACTCCGAGAAGTCACTCTGCTCACAGAGGAGAGGAAGAAGAGGCCCGATTCACCCACACAGCCAGGAGAAATGGTTAGTCTTTAACAAAAGGTGATAGAGCTTTTGCCTCTGCATTATCTATTCATTATGATTATTAATTAGTTATGACTTAGGTGTCTGATAGATCTTTAACCTAGCTCCGAATTACTATCAGCTTGAGGGATTTTGCGAATTTAAGGTTATCGCAGTGGCACACTTAAGGTTGTGATTCTAGAGGCTGTGCACACCCTGCCAATGTCAATGCATCATAGGAAGGAACAGTGTGAGAAAGTGACTGAAATGCTTTCTCAAAACCTATTGAAATCTGACTCAGTGACCTATATGATTGAGGCCATTGCTGTCAATACTTGCAACCTGGTGAATACAAATCAGTGGGTACTAATTACCCACTCTAATAGTAAATATGTATCATTTAACTATAACAAATCTTAAAGTGGATGCTTGTCAAATGCTTACAATTTTAGTTGTCTTGGTGTCTCTAGCGCATGTTGTTGTGGAACGACCTATAACTCACTCCATGTGTGGTTGGTCCCTGTCCTACAGCGTACCCAACATCAGGATGTATCTACGGGGGAGGAGGGAGGAGCTGGAGACAGAAAAGCCAATCAGGACCCACCTGGACCCAGTGAGGAGGGGTCAGAGGTCACTGAAACAGCCTCCAACACCATGGAGGATCCTGCCACTGAACCTGTACGTCACCTGTCTACACTAACATACACTGAGTGTACAAAACATTAGGAAAGCTATGATCCCTTATTGATGTCACTTGTTATATCCACTTAAATCAGTGATGAAGGGGAGGAGACAGGTTAAAGACAATTGAGACATGGATTGTGTATGTGTGCCATTCAGAGGGTGAATGGGCAAGACAAAAGATTTCAGTGCCTTTGAACAGGGTATGGTAATAAGTGCCTGGCGAACCGGTATGAGTGTGTCAAGAACTGCAACGCTGCTGGGTTTTTCACGCTCAACAGTTTCCCGTGTGTATCAAGAATGGTCCACCACCCAGAGGACATCCATCCAACTTTGGGAAGCATTGGAGTAAACATGGACCAGCATCCCTGTGGAATGCCCCGACGAATTGAGGCTGTTCTTGCAACTCAATGTTAGGTAGTTGTTCCGAATGTTTTGTACACTCAGTGTATATTTAAAGCCTACTATTAGGAACTGATTTAAGAAATTATCGATCTATCGTCCCATGTTTAAATGATCAACATTGTTGTTGGCAAAATACACATTCCTACTGTAGTAACATCCTCTGCTGGTGCACAACAGTATTAACACATTTGACCTCACAACAAAATATCACACATCGTATTGCTTCAAGGCCTCCCAGTAACTATTCCTTAGTCATTTATTTGTATGTCCCTCATGTCTCCATCTTTCATTTTTCATTACTCTTCTGACTGATGGTGAATGGAATAGATACCTAATCTATTTTTGTTATCATCTTGGTTATTTCTAATATCATTAATCATCTTGGTTACTTATCTATTATATAATCTTGGTTATTTTGAATCTCTTTTATCATCTTGGTTATTTCAAATGTATTTTTTTGTTACATCTCGGTTATTTCCTGAAATATTATCTTGGTTATTTCCTTGTAGACTGCTGCAGAGACAGAGGAGGATGATCTGGAGCAGCGTAGGCTATGGGAGGATGGCCAGGCTGACTACCTGGGCAAAGACGCTTTCGACAACATCCAGAAAAAACTGGACCGATGTTTAGATTAGTAGCTTGTTTTGTGTGGCAAGATACTGTAGCAATAGTACTGAATACTCATGTTCATGTTTATGTGTGTTATGTCTGTAGTGTAGGCCACCACTCTAATAGGGTTTTCTGTGTCCTTTTGCTGTAAAACAAAAATAAATATATAAACTTGATTCCAATTTCATTAAAAAAATGTGGTCTTAGAATTCAAGTTTAAATGCATTCCTTATTTTGATGTTATTCTGGAAATATCTGGAAGATTTTAAATTGTCTTTATGTTGCCACTAGAGGGTACTGTGGCTTTTTAAATAAAGCACTTTTCCTGGTCAAAGTTAAAGTCACAATCAACTCCAACAGCCCTATAGGGGTCATGATAGTCTTGCATAGACTCCAGAGAGTAGGGAAACTAGGGAAAGAAGAAGTAATATTGGCCTCAGGGATCCTATCCATAGATGTTGTTGGATCAATATTCATCTATAGGCTTGTACACCCCTATTGTCCTAGGAGAGAATGGTAGCCCTCACTGTGAGGGTCTGGGAAAGGCTGTGTAGGCCTACAGAGGCTAAGGAGATATAAGGTCAGTACAGAACTGTTAACTCTATTCTGAAAGACTAAATACAACCTCAAACTGAATAGAATAATAACTTATTCCAAAACGTATAGGCTACTTACAGTAACAAGCCCTCCTTCCCGCTCACTTTCTCTCTAGTCCGTTCCAGTCCTTCATCTTCCCATTTGGAGAACAGCAGCAGCCTTACGTAACTTAAGGCTGCACTTAAATGGACTAATCAGCCACACCTTTAATCAGTGAAGTGGGGCCAGCTGGCTGTATTCTCTACCAGTTATTCAATAGCATTGACATCACAATAACCCTCCTAAAGAATTTCACTACTGCCTGAGTCTATTTGCTTTGACAATCTCTTTTATTTGACACCCAGATGTTTTCTCAGAATTCCATAGCTTACATTAACTGTGCTATCCACCTACCCAGGTTTAAACTCTAGCAAACTGCATGCACCGATAAAAACAGGAGATTCAGGAAATAACTCAGAGGGTGGAGGCGTGAGGAGCGAAATCTAGAGTATATTTCAGTTTGTTTCCTTTTGTTTACTCCCCTTAAATACGTTTCAGTGCTAGACACTCAGCGTCCCGGATGGCACCCTATTCCCTATATAGTGCACTACTTCTACTGGCTCTGGTCAAAAGTAGTGCACTATATAGTGAATATGGTGACATTTGGGATGCATACACTGATGCCTCACAGGAAGAAACGGAGGTAATCATTTCTTGGCTCTTTCAGGAGACAAGGTGTTCTTTTGGTTGTCTGATATTCTCCCAAAACGAAAGTGCTCCAAGCTGGCTGCTTTTAGTAATAAAGCATTAATAAAGATTTGAGGACAACCAAGTAGGCCTAGAGGAGGCGTACTGTATTTAAATGTGTGTGTTTTGTGTGTGTGTGTGGGACGCCTTGATTGCATTGAAATGAAATGTGATAAGTGCCATGAACCCCTATAAGCACCTCCATATGTTTGTGGTTAACTTTGAAGCTGACTTTGAGCCTAACTTCAGAGGTGGTGTCCCAAATGGCACCCTAGTCAGTTAATAGTGCATTACTTTTGACCAGGGCTCTGGTCAAAAGTAGTGCACTACATAGAGAATAGGGTGCCATTTGGGATGCAACCAGACTGTGACTGTGTGGCAGTGGTTGTATGACCATTTGGATTTGCTTGCAATGCAAATTTGGTCCGCTAATTTCATCTGTGGTTTGACCGATAGGGTATGATTCTAATAGTGCACAATCCCTCCTATAAGGCTAATTGAGAATGGATTGCAGAAGTAATCATATTCTGATGAGGAGAGAGAACACAGGAAGCAGATCTAAGAATGGTAGTATGCCAAAGGTTAAGGGAATTCTATGGATTTTGTAATGTATGTTTTCAGACAGGGACCAGACACAAAATTGTCTGAGGCAATATCAACAATGATATAGTAACTATAGCACAGTCAATCTGTCACGGTTTCGGCCGAGGCGGCTCCTCCTCCTTGTTCGGGCAGGTTTCGCCGGTCGTCGTCTCCGGAGTTCTAGCTGCCACCGCTCTATTGTTTGTGTCGTGGTTGCGCTACCAGTGTCGGTACGCTATTTTCCGTAGCTTCCTCCTTGTTGTTAGGAGAGATTTACGCACCTGTGTGTGCGCTTGTTTACGCCTGTGTGCGTCCTTTTGCCTCCGGGCTGTTTGGATTATTTTTGTGCTGAGTAAAGTCTTGTTGGACTTACCCTCTGCTGCCTGCGCCTGATTCTACACCACACCTATACACAGCACCTTGACAGAATTACACACCTCATAATGGAATCAGCAGGAGCACCCGTCGACACCATGGAGGAGCGTCTCCTTGGACAAGAGCACCGGATCCACCGTATCGGGCACGCCTTGGAGGGCGTCATGGACACCCTTCGTCGATGGGAGACCAGCGGGGTTCCCACAGCCTCACCTATCGCACCATCACCTTCACCACCGGACAGCCAGCCCGTCCATCGACCGGAACCCAGTGGGATTCGGCTCTCGCTCCCGAGGGCGTACGACGGCACCGCTGCCGGGTGTCAGGGGTTCCTCCTACAAGTGGAGCTCTACCTTGCCACCATACACCCGGCGCCCTCGGGATACGAGAGCGTTTCCGCCCTCATCTCCTGTCTCACCGGCAAGGCGTTGGAGTGGGCCAACGCCGAATGGAGGGGAATAGACGCCGCCACAGTCACCTACGCGGAGTTCTCCCGTCGCTTCCGTGCGGTCTTCGACCATCTACCAGAGGGGAGAGCGGCGGGGGAACGTCTATTCCACCTCCGACAGGGGATGAGGAGCGCTCAGGCGTTTGCGCTGGAGTTCCGGACTCTAGCGGCTGATGCGGGGTGGAATGAGAGGGCTCTCATAGACCACTTCAGATGCAGCCTTCGGGAGGACGTCCGCAGGGAGTTAGCCTGCAGGGACACTACACTAACCTTTGACCAGCTGGTGGACATGGCCATTCGCCTGGACAACCTGCTGGCGACCCGCGGACGTCCCAGGTGGGGCCCCCCCATTCCACCCTCCAGCGCCTCCGAGCAGTGTCCGATGGAGCTTGGAGGTGCTGGCGCTAGAGGGAGAAGTGGTAGGAGCCCGAGGGGGGCAGTCTCCTGCACCAAGCGTGGGCGCGGAGGGCACACCGCGGCTAGGTGCTGGGGAGGGTCCCCTGGTGAGGGAGAGAGCAGGTCATACAGTGGGGAGTCCACCCAGGTGAGTAGGCGCCCTACTTACCCAGAGCTTTCTGTCGTTCACTTTACCTTACCTGTTTGTTTCCCACAGGTTGCACCTCGGTCCCAGCATAAGGCGCTAGTCGATTCAGGCGCAGCTGGGAATTTTGTAGACCGGAGATTCTGTGTTAAGTTAGGGATTCCCCTCCTTCCAGTCGAAAAACCCTTTCCTGTACATGCCCTAGATAGTCGTCCGTTAGGATCTGGGTTGATTGGGGAGGTCACAGCGCCACTTAGGATGATGACGCAGGGGGGTCATTGGGAGACGATTCAACTCTATCTTATCGACTCTCCTGCGTATCCGGTGGTACTGGGGCTTCCCTGGTTGATGACCCATGATCCTACTATTTCGTGGCGAGAGAAAGCTCTTAAAGGGTGGTCTGCTCAGTGTGAGGGGTTATGTCTGGGTGTTTCCGTCGGGGCGACCTCGGTGGAGAGTCCGAACCAGATGCCAGCACTGCACATTCCTCCTGAGTATGAGGATTTGGCGCTCGTGTTCAGTAAGACCAGAGCGGCACAGTTGCCACCTCATAGACAAGGGGATTGTGCGATAAACCTCCAGACAGGAGCAGCGCTTCCGCGGAGCCATGTGTATCCTTTGTCACAGGAGGAGAAAAAGGCAATGGAGACTTACATTGCCGAGTCTCTGAGACAGGGATACATACGGGTCTCCACTTCTCCCGCGTCCTCGAGCTTCTTTTTCGTGAAGAAAAAGGATGGAGGTTTGCGTCCGTGTATTGATTACCGCGGTCTCAATCAGGTGACAGTGAAGTACAGCTATCCACTTCCTCTGATTGGGACCATGACGGAGTCCTTACACGGGGCAAGGTTCTTCACAAAATTGGATCTCAGGAGCGCATATAACTTGGTGCGCATTAGGGAGGGCGATGAGTGGAAGACAGCATTTAGTACTACCTCCGGCCATTACGAGTATCTCGTCATGCCATATGGGTTAATGAATGCTCCATCCGTCTTCCAATCGTTTGTAGACGAACTTTTCCGGGACATGCAGGCGCAGGGAGTAGTGGTGTACATAGATGATATTCTTGTGTACAGTGCTACTCGGGCCGAGCATGTAGCCCTGGTGCGCAGGGTATTGAGGAGACTGTTGGAGCATGACCTGTATGTCAAAGCTGAGAAATGTCTGTTCTTCCAGGAGTCAGTTTCCTTTTTGGGTTACCAGTTGTCTGCGTCAGGGGTGAGAATGGAGGTGGACCGAGTGTCCGCCGTGCGTAATTGGCAAACCCCAACTACGGTTAAAGAGGTGCAGCGGTTCTTGGGTTTTGCGAATTACTACCGGAGGTTTATCCGGGGTTTTGGACAGGTGGCAGCTCCCATAACGTCTCTTCTGAAGGGGGGTCCGGTGCGCTTGCAGTGGTCAGCTGAGGCGGACAGGGCCTTTGGGAGACTGAAGGACCTGTTTACCTCGGCTCCGGTGTTGGCGCACCCGGATCCCACTTTACCCTTCCAAGTTGAGGTGGACGCGTCTGAGGCCGGTATCGGGGCAGTTCTTTCTCAGCGATCCGGTACACCACCTAAGCTCCGCCCCTGTGCTTTTTATTCTAAGAAGCTCAGTCCGGCGGAGCGGAATTATGACGTAGGGGACAGGGAGCTGTTAGCCGTAGTACAGGCCCTAAAGGTGTGGAGGCATTGGCTTGAGGGGGCTCAGCACCCTTTCCTCATTCTGACCGACCATCGTAACCTGGAATACATTCGGGCAGCTAGGAGACTGAATCC